ACTTTGCATTTGTCTAATGGCCAGCGATATTGAATATTTCTTCATGTATTTATTGTCCATTGGTAATTCTTCTGTGAAGTGTCTATTCATTTCAACTTGCCCCTTGAGTCTTTTATGGTGGGGTAATTTTTTTGAATTCTTAGACCATAATTTTTTTTTTTTTTTTTTTTTTGGTTTTTCTCCGGTACGGGGAACCGAACTCACGACTTTGCGCTTGCCAGGCAGGTGCTTTTGCCGCTGAGCTAAATCCCCAGCCCCGTAGACCATAATATTAAGTGAAGTAAATCAAACACACAAGCTTAAATATTGCTTGGTTTCTCTTGTATGAGAATGAATTTAAATTAGAGCTTATCTTTTGTAAGTTTATTTCCTAAGTTTCTCACATGATTAAGGCACTGCTAAGGGACTGCTGACCATCTGAAAAGATATTTTGCAATTCCAAAGTAACTACTTAAGAAAGTTGTCAGCAAGCATCATAATTACCATAGTTCCCTGAACCCACTTGTGTGCATAAAAAGATAACCAAATCCGTAATACACTTCTTAACCTTTACACTTTGTAGGCCAACGTGCTTTGTATGTGCCGGCTCAGAGAAGCCGGATGGAGCAAGTTTACTACAACTGTACTGGAACTATAGGTTAACTCAATTTCTGCCTCTTCAGCCTCCACAGGTACCATAAAAGTAAATAAATAAATAAATATAAAAATAAGGTTATTAAAGAAGATAGCTATCTGGTGAAGAAACAATAGAGAAAAGGAAAAGGCTAGAGAACATAGTCTCATAAGTTAGACTTTCTGATTCTTTTTTAGCTTTCTAGTTTTCAAGTCCAGCTTCATCATTTACTATCTGTAAGAACTTAAGCAACTTAAATTCTTTAGGCTCCTTTTTTTCACCTATAAATTGAGGATACTAATCTGTATGATGGAATTATTGAGAACATTGAATGAGACAATTTATATAAAAACTTTCTATAGTCTGTTAGCCCAAGTAAATACTAGTTCCTTTAAGCAAAATTTAAGTTTTTTATTATCACTTCTCCCTTAATCAAGTAAACTGACAAATAAGGTTTTTTTTCATAGATACCTCTTACCTTACAGCTGCATTAGGCAGCTAATTGTATGCCTATGCCTATGCCAAGGAAGATTTAGCTCTACTGTCTTAGGGTCCTTCTGTTATATTGTTTCTCTTTTTAAATATGCTAGTGTTGATTTAGTACTTATTTGCTTTCACTGCAGTAATAAAGCCAGCAGAGCACTCCATATGTTTGGATGGGGCTGAGGTTATCCATGTTTCAATAGCAGTCCCTTCATCCTTGCTGGAATGTTGAGACTGCTCAGATCACAAAATCGAAGAAATATAAAACACCTTTGCTCCATTGCCAGTAGCTGGGTTGTTCCTCAGCATATCAGAGCTACATTGAATTGCATAAAACGTCTTCAACTGATGTAGGAAGCTTCGCTGAACCACACACAACCAGATAGGTAACCTGTTGTTTTACATTCTTCATCATACCCGAGTAAGATAGAAAAGATAGGTAAAAAGAAGACAAGAATATTTGTATTAAAATTGAACTTTAAGAAAGACTCCATCTTTAAGACATAAAAAATATTGAAACATTTTTTTCTTTCCAGACAAAATTCCTAAGGGCCTTATCTACAATAAGCCTATAAAGTAGGCTCTGGGCCTATGCCTTTGACTTGTAAATTGCACTCCTTCCTAGTAACCTCCATCCTCGGAACAGGATGCCCCATTAAGAGAGCATATATAAGAGGGCATATCAGCATTAAGCACTAGAAATGCTTTGCATTTCACCAAATTGGTCCAAACCCTACAGACACTAGAATATACATCCTAGATAACTCATTATTGGAACAACCTCCAGCCTCCACAAATATACCCAGATCAAGGTCATAAAGTACTCCATTTCTTTATGTGAGTACTTTCAAAAGTCTGTCTTAATTAATTATTGATGGATCTCAAATGTCCTTTTTCTGTGACAGGAGTCAGCAAGCAGACAACCTTCCGCATGGGTTGGGTGAGTCAAAGTTCCCCATCTCTGTTTTGGGGCCCTCCTTGGACCCTCTCTGGTGACATTTCCTTGGTGAACCAGTGGCAGGAGGTAAGCAAAGCATAGATTATGACTTTGGTAAATGCAGCCAAAGGTTTTACTTTTTTTTGTCATCTCTACTTCTCCAACCCTTTGCCCTTTGATGCATAGCTTTTCTCCCTTTCTCTCATCTGCACTCCTCCTTCCCCTCTTCCTCTGGCTCTCTCTTGATTTTTCTTCAAACCTCTGCAGCTTTAGGCGAGATCAGGCACATTCAGGGTAGTTTGGCTGTAGACTGTAGCTTCACGTTTTACTTTTCAGTAGCCATAGGCTCCTAAGTCCTAGATACGAATCACTTGCTCCCTCTAACAAGAAATGGGAAGAGTTCTTGGCCTTCCTTCCAGCCATCATACCTCAGTGAAAGGAGTCACTGGTGAGGAGGTAATATGCTATTTTTGACAACCCTTAGGCTGTAACTACTTAATAGATCCTTCTTGCATATCTCTGTCTTCCTGAGAAACCACCACGTATTACAGCAGCCATTGATATTTTCCTACTAATCTATCCATAACTGTGTTAAGTTTGTAATGTTCCTATCCTATTTCATAATGTATGTTTATTATTATGTGTTTCCTACAACAACCATTGAGAATAGTTAATGATTTTTCAATAGGTCACTCATGTATAGCTCTATTTATTTTCTTTAGAAGCCACTTTGAAGATACCAAAGTATAGCACAACAACTCTTGATAATCTCCTACCTCTTTTGTCTCTAACTCACTATTATTTGTCTATTTGTTTTCCTGAGAAACTATTTTGTAGATAATAATATGTAAAACGATAACCATTGATAATTTCCTACCATTTTGTCTGTAATTTGCTAAGTCCCCCCTATTATTATGCTATCCTTCTTTTATTCTTTAAAATAAAAAAAAAAAAAAAAAGAAATGGGAAGAGTTGTCAAGAGATACACCCTAGGACAGTAGTCTTATTAGACATCCCCTCAGGTCATATACACTGCTTCCAGATCAAATGGAATTAAACTTTGTACATTATCTGGAGCCAGTCACCACAAACATCTTCAGGTCTACAAAGTAGAGGGAGGGTCCCAGGTTCTATACCCTGTAATAATTAGAGTTTTAATGGTCCAGTGTTCACAAAAAACATAGATATGTTTATTTTAAATTCTTCTTTGGCCATTGTTATAATTAAAATAAGGAAAGCTAGATTTGTTAACAAAGTAGAGAGGAATCTATATACTCTGTACACTCCACCTATTTTGCTTGAGTAAGCAGCTCAAGACAAATGGAGGTCAATATTAAAGATAACTCACCATTATTCTAATTCTAGTCAAGCTGATGCTCCCCTGTGCTATTGTTAAAACAAACTGTTGTGTACATATTCCTGACAACTCTGCAAATATGTCTTTTGTGTTATAAAATCTATGTTCACAAATTAATATGATGTCAGATTCAGTGGCGTGCTGATAATAACCCTTTTCTTCTAGGTCTCCTAAGGGTCAGTCAGGATGAGACTTTTAGTTCTTGGCTAGGCAGGGTCAATGCTCTTTTCTCTGCCTAAAGTAGCTATAAGAATATGAAACTTTGGGGGCTGGGGATTTAGCTCAGCGGCAAAGTGCCTGCCTGGCAAGCGCAAGGTTGTGAGTTCGGTTCCCGGTACCAGAGAAAAACCAAAAAAAAAAGAATATGGAACTTTGGTGCCTCTGTAGCCCTTAAAAATAACAGATTGAAGATTGGAGCTGAGGATTAGGCAGGATAGAAGAAAATAAACATTGATAAGATAAGGAAAGTGTAATAGTTGCGTTGTACTTTTAAGAGGAACTCCAGACTCAGGACACCAGAGTTTTTCAGGCTTGTTTTCTCTTTAAGAAAAAAATTCCTAAGGGCCTTAAAGACAAAAGCCTGTAAACTAGACTCTGGACCTGTGCCTTTCATCTATAAATGGTGTTGCCTATAACCAACCTCCAACCTCAGGGCAAGATGCACTATTAAGAGGACAGCATATCTCAGATTTAAACACAGTAAATGTTTTGCATTTTAACATAATGCACCAAATCAGAAAAATCCTACAAACCCTAGAACATACATCCCAGGTAACCTATTATCAGGATACCCTCAAACTCGCAACACTGTATTCACCTTAAGGGCCTGCACTCTTATTTCTCTGAGTGTGGACTTTTAAATTTCTGTCCAATAAATCCCTCGATGCTTCTCACAGATACATCCTGAAAATTCTTTTTCTGTGTTGAAAGTCAGCAAACCTTTAACCCACTCATTGAGAAAGGTGAGTCAGTTTCCCATCTCTGCTTTAGACCTCTTTGGAGTCTGTCTCATGATAATATCTATCCAACAGAGGTATTTTGCATTGACAGAGCTCTTTGGTGTCCTGACACATCTTAGGACATTGATATTGGTAATTTTTCTTTCCCATCAAAAGTTGTTCTGAATCATCCAAAGAACTATGTGAGAAACCAGATATAAAATTATGAGAGGTTTCAGTTACTGAAATTCTTTATAATCTTTGCAATTGCCATTTAATAGCTATAAACTTTCTAGTCCTGTTCTTAAGTGATTTTTCTGCACAAATTGGCATTGTTCTTTAGCAACATAATTTCCTCCAGAAGTCCCTTTAATCCATAGTGTATTGTTAGCCTACCATAAAGACAAATAATGAGTTTCCAACTCTTGTTTTTAAAAATTTCTTTTATATTTTTGAAAGCAGTCATAAATGATTACAATTGTTTCAGCATCTTTTTCTCTAAAATGTTAGTTTTTCAAAATTGGAAAATCTCTTCAAGCCATTAGATCATAGGACAACTGATTCTATTTATTTATGTACTGTATTTGTTTTTGGTTTTAGGAGTCGGGGTATTGCCATGTAGTTCAGGCTGGCCTCAGACTCAGAGTAGCCCAGGCTGACTTCAAACTCACAGCCATCCTTCTGCCTTGGTCTCCTAAGTGCTGGAAACACAGGTATGTGCCACCACACCTGGCTTGATTAGCTTACTTTATAACCATCAGTGTCACCTTATCTTTCCAAAGAATAGAGAAATTATCGCAGGAAAACAGTGTTCTACTTAGTCCATGAATGTCAATTTCTGTTTTTTCAATATTCCATGCAGAAACCAATCTTTTAGTTTTTATTCAGTTTTGTTGTAATATAAACACATCTTTTGTGAATTGAGTTGCCTTGTCTATATTATACATAAGTATTAACGTCCAAACAAAGCTTAAGCCAGAAAACTGGTATAGGACCCTGTGATCTCATATCCTTTGTTGCAGCCACTTAGTATCAGGAAAGTTTACATTCTCATAGAAACAAACACAATGGTTCCACAAACCATACCCTTTATTATCCCACCTCAACTTTCCTGTCTTACTTCCTATAGTGTCTTGTCTGATTCTGTATTCCAAGAGATAAGCAGATGCTGCTAAATAATTCATGGGTTAATACTTTAGATGCAGAGATCATGTTGAAAATATTCGTCAACTGTCAGCAGCTGTGTGAATTATTTGTTGAACAGGTGTATAATTATGAACAAATGAAAATAGAAACAGGCAGTGTAGGAAGCTAAAATATGGAAATGATATTTTGCATATATGCTGTGTAATTATCTCATTTTATATTTCCAGATATCTCTGGTGTTTTTGAACAATGTTTATATCATGTTGTGGCTGTAGAACTGGAGACAGAGCTTAGATGCCTCACCTAAAGTCATTGAACAAGTATTTAGTAATACCAGTTCCACAACGTGAGCAGCGGGAAACAAGGCCACCCCTGTGTTTCTTTTCCTCATAACTAACATAATGCTGATGAGTGAACAGTAACTTCCAAAGATGTCATTTGTAGATGGGGCCAAAAGGATAAATTTGCGCTTACTATTGGATGACCACCAGCAGTTATTCTTCACTTTTTTGAGGAGTCAGTGTGTTTTTATTTATATTTTAAGAAGGTCATTCTGTCACCTCCTGAGAAGAAAATATTGATTAGTTTAAATTAGTCTTGATAATTATATTTTTCTTACTAATTTTGGCTTAGGAAAGAGCTTATAACGCAATTCTAACCAGTGAAATATGAGGTACAAGCCAGGTGTTGTGGTACATGCCTGTAATTCCAGCGCTCTGGGAGGTTGAGGCTGGAGATCACAAGTTTGAGCCCAGCCTAGGCAGTTTAGCAATCTAACTCTGTCTCAATAATAAAATGCAAAATAAAGGGCTGAGATGTAGCCCAGTTCAAAGGCCCTGTGTTCAACCCCCAGCATGGGGTGGGGTTGGGGAGAGAGAGAGGAAATATGAGGGACAGTCTGCTGGGGAATTTCTAAAAGTTTTGGATTTTACTTTTTTTTGGTTCTTGGAAAGAGCAAATACTGGGAAAAGAATAGCCAGTACTTAGAACACTTAGCAGGGTCTTTGGATTGAAGATTCTGTTGAGTTGAAAGAATAATGAAACTGGCACAGAAAATGATCTGGAAGGAAAAGAGATGGCATTATCGCATAAAATGATTAAAACTGGTATTTTGAAGATGGCACAGTAGTTTTTATTGATTACATGAAATGCTTTAGATATGAAACTAAGGAAGTTTAAACAAGGCAAGTTATACGTTACAAATAATTTAAAATTAAGTGTGTAAAAAAGGTGAGTGCTAGGAAGTCCTCACTCCACACTTCTGCTCCTACACTTATGCTTCACTAACTTCTTCCCTTCCACTACTCTGTGGATCCCTCCTTCCAGCCCCTGAAAGTCCCCAGCTCACTCAGCAATTTCTCCATTCAGTTCTTAAAATAAATTAAGACATTTTGTTTTTAATGCAGAGTCTGCCAAAAAAGTGTATATACACTTCAGGAAAAAGAAAAATAGTGTGATGTTTTTCAATAGACGGTGTTACCCTCATAAGGAGTAAAGGAATCTGACCACCGCCATCCTAGTCTGAGCAGAGACCACTTTAAATCCCTTCCCACTGCTGTGCTTTTACACATGCTGCAGCTGTATCATCATGCATTATTAAGGCCCAGTAAGCACAGCTACACCCTGTAATTCCCAATCATTGTTCAGCCCTGCTCTTGACAAACAACTTGCAACTGCTTGTGTGTTCTCAAGTCCTATCCCTAGTTAGCCACAACTTCTTTGTACTGAACTCCCTTGAAAGTCCCATTGTGATGTTTTTCCTTCCACAGCCCCCCTTTTTATGCTCATGACCCTTTAAAGACCTTATAGCCTGTATGAGAGTTAGCTGGTCTGGTCTCTAGTGCCAGTGCAGTCCCTCTCAGATTTGTTCTGAAATAAACCTGTCCTCCTGGCTGGGGATTTAGCTCAGCGGCAAAGCGGCTGCCTGGCAAGTGCAAGGTCGTGAGTTCGGTTCCCGGTACCGGAGAAAAACCAAAAATAAAAAATAAAAATAAACCTGTCCTCTTGAGATTGTACCTCTATTTTCTTTTCCTTTTTCCCAACCTGGGGGACCCGAGAGGATGTTCTATATTGCAGAAAATCTACTACGCTGCTGGCCCTTAGAGAAGAAATTGAAAATGCATGTGTGACAATCTCAATGACTAAGGTTAGCGAAGCAGTTCGCTATACTAACAAATGTCTGAAGCTAATGGCCACCAGTTTGAGCACGTCTTGTAATTGTAGAGGACAAAGGTAACTTATATGAGTCTCATGATATCTGAATAAATTTAGTTTTAAAATATTTATACAAGTTTTTCTTTTCCTGAAGTGTGTATACATTTTTTTGGCAGACTCTGTAGATGTCTTTAGTGGTTTGGAGAGATGAAAGAGACTGACATCAGAGAGATGCCAATAAATTTAAATATAATCTTGAAAAAACTTTGTTTTTAAAATGAGAGAGACACACGCAAGGAGAGACAACTACCCGGACATCAGTCATGGTTTATGGAGCATAGGAGGCATAGGGAGTTTGGAAGTAGGTGGGTGGGGTGGTGATGGACGCGATCTAGGTCAACCATGCAAGCGGGCAAGGGAAAGTAGGAAGCTAGGCAGGTAGGGCAAATAAAAATCAAAGAAACTGGGCGTGATGGTGTGCATATGTAATCCAAGCTCTCAAGAGGCTAAGGCAGAAAGATTGCTACAGTTTCAAGGCCAGTCTGGGCAACATAGTGAGTTCAAGCTTAGCCTGAACTGACATAGTAAGATCCTGTCTTAAAAAAAAAAAAAAAATCAAAGAAAGGCCACTTTTCAGAATATATGCTTAAAACCCAATCTGGAGAACACTTGGGTCACACAGGAGAGTTGTGGGACCCACTTTATAGGCTTGATATCACTTAGATCCATACTCTTTTCTCTAGAGGAAAAATCAGCATTCATGGGACATCACCAAGTTCTCACTATGCTCGTTTTCTGTAGGCTGATATGTCTTCTGATAACACAGTGATCTAAAATGAGAGAATTTATTTTAAGTTTTCCTATAAATACCTAGGAGGTCCATGGTATTATTCTCTTTCAGTCTCCCAAAGTCCTGCAGGCTGGAAAATAGCTTTAATATTCAGTCTAGAGTGGTAACTACAAATGAACTCTTGTCTTTTCTAAATATCTCCATAAGAATATAATATCCTACTGTAAATTATATCAAAGCTATTCACAAATATTAAACAGAAAATCTAACAAACGGGCTTTTCTTTGGTGACACTAGAAATACATTGTTACATTTTTGGCATTTGAGGAAAAAAATTACTGAATATTGTATACCTAGTTGAGCTTAAACTCATAAAGAGGTCATAAAGAGGGAGGAAATAAAGATTACAGGCAGAAAAAATATATAAAATAGAAGAAAATGGAGAAAATCAATAAAACCAAAAGTTTGTTCTTTAAAAAGATCAATGAAGTTGATCTTTAGCTAGATTAGGAGAAAAGAATATTCAGATACTAAAATAATAAAAAGGGATACTACTATAGAGTCATGAAAAGAGTCTAAGAAAATACTGTGAACAGCTGTATGTCAACAAGTTGGATAACCCAGGCAAACAGGACAAATTCATAGACATCTACAAACTACAAAACTGATTTAAGAAACCCAGGTGTGGTGGCGCACGCCTGTAATCCCAGCACTCCAGAGTTTGAGGCAGGAGGATCATTGCGAGTTCGAGGACAGCCTGGGCTACAAAGTGAGTTCAAGGCCAGCCAGAACTGCATAGCCAGACCCTGTCTCAAACCAAAAAAAAAAAAAAAAAAAAAAAAAAAAGTGAAACAAAACGGATTTAAGATGAAAGAGAAAATAGCAAGGAGATTTGAATGACCAATCAAAAACTTCCCAACAAAGAAAAACCCCAGGGCCAAGTGACTTCATTGGTGATTTCTAGCAAATACTAAAAGAATTAATACTTCTCAAATTTTTGAAAAGAGAGTAGAACATTTCCTTACTCATCTATGAAACCAGAATTACTCTAATAATATAAGCAGACAAAGACATGAGAAGAAAACTATGAGTCAATACTTCTTAAGAGTATAAATGCAAAAGTCCTCACCAAAATCCTGGGAAATTAAATTCAGACATTTTTCTTAAAAATATGTAAATGATCAGTAAACACATGAGAAAATACTAACCAAAACCACAAGAAAGTACCACTTCCTACCTACCAGTAGGACTGCCATCAAAAGAACAAGACTAGTGTTAGTGAAGACGTGGGGAAATAAAAGCCCTAGTAAAATGGTGCAGTCACTGTGAAATACAGTTTGGTGATTCCCCAGAAAGTTAAACAGATTTACCACCCAGCAAGTTCACTCCTTGATGTATATCCCCAAATAGAACACAACAGATACCAATATTTATACCAGTATTTATAGAAGCATTATTCACAATAACTAAAAAGATAGAAATAATCCAAGTACTCATCAACAAATAAATGGATAGACAAAAAGTGGTATATACATGCAGTGGAATACTATTCAGCCATAAAAATCCTGAAGCACTGATACATGCTATAACACAAATGAACCTTGAAAACAATGTGCCAGGTGA